TAAATATACTTCCATCTCATAGTGCTACAGCTCTATTCCTTTTTTCCCCCTCTCCTTTTTCTTCTCTCAGTTTCTCTAGCAGTTTCGGTATGAACCATTTGAGTTTCAAAGAACTATGAAATATATACTGAAGTATGCACAGACACTAAAGTGTCAATGAAGTCGTTAGAATTCTCAGATAATTCGCCTGCATTTTGGAATGCCTTTTTTGAACACAGTCACTTTCAAAACTGTGCTTATTTAAACTGCTGTGTTCTGTATTTAACAAAGGTTCCTAAATGCATAATTTACTGGACTATTAAAACCAAAAAGTGCAACAGATATGCAAAGGCACATTTGCCACTGGGCAATATACAGTATCACAGAACAATGACATGACTGGGGCCTTTAGATTCTATTGTAATAATGCATAAAAGTAAAACCAATTAATATTACTGCTCTTAGCATTTGTTTCCAAAGCACTGAAAATTATGTATTAGTTGAATTCTGTTCCTTAAAAGCATACCTTTATGCATGCAGCTATGAAAGAAAAAGTGACTTCATGTTTAAATAAAAAAAAAAAAAAAGATGACGCAGCGCCTCAGCAATGTGGAGGCTACTTGCACTCGTGTTGAATGAGTTAGATTAAAAAAAAATTCCTTTCCCGCAATCACATCCCCTACTTAGAATGCATCACAGATCTATTTGTCCCAGATCTAGACAAATGTAAACGAGATAGACTGTTCCTATGTAATGGAATCACTGCTCAACCTGAACAGTGGCCACATTGTTTTTACATCAATATTCACCTCACAATTTCTGTATGGTTATGTCAGCAAATTGTAGCAACTTGCACATGATTATCTCCAATTCTCCTTTTGAGCTGAATTCTCTTAGAAAGCATTGGGAAAACTACAAACTAAAAAACATCAGCCACTATCCATTTATGTGGATTAAACGGTCTGGTAAAAAATACTTTCAATTTTCTCACACATGTCTTGAAACAAGGTAGTCAAACAGAATATGCCAAAAAAAGTGAAGGGAAGTTCTTTGAACAATTTTGCTGCAACAGTAAATAAAAGTTACTATCCACAAAAGAAAGGATCTTAGAATGACTCTGTAACAGAACAGCAATATTGACATAGCACCTTGTCTTGCTAACAGTTACTGACTCTAGTAAGAAGCGGTTAAATGCATTTTGTTGAATCACCAAATCAGATGGTTTGTCCTCCAACACAGCTATAAGGAAGTAGAAATGTTCTTCTAAACAGGTGGATATAAGGACTAGTTACCCTACAATTTAAAGAGAGACTTGAACTAAATACTTATGTCCTATGTTTTTGTAAATAAGGTCAAGGTTCTACTCTCAGAAACGATGTTAGGGCTTTTGCACACCATGTCTTTACTGCTAAACCCCTTGGAACATGGAGAAAGGAGCTCAAACAGAACATGCATCTATCTCACTGATTTTCAGCTTTATTTTTGGCCTCTTCTTTTCACTATAGCCTAGAATGAGTCTAACAGCCCATACACACAGAAGCACCATGATCAAGCTAGTACACAGGAATGTTAAGACACCTTTGGAGACTGATGTTTCAGTTGCACAGTGTAACTTTTGGTCATAGTTCAGGATCTGGCCCTAAGCCCTAAAAACCCAACTTCTCAGTTCTTTCCTATCTGCTCCATCATCTTGATGCAGGACCCAATTCTTTCTTCACATCATCTACTCCAACAAGTCATATCGTTGGGATTATAAACCAAACAGATGGGTTAATTTCCAAACCGGAATATATTATTAAAGGAATATATTAATATTATAGGAATATATATTTCCAAATGGGAATATATTTTGTTTATTTTATATATAAGTTACTCTAAATACTGGCTATGTTAAAATATAAAAAAATATATATTTTATAATTCTAATATTATAAAAGCCTAAATCTGTCTGTCCATCCATAACACTTTATTCGTGCTCTGGCTGGTTGTCCCCCTCTGCCTCCAAGACCCCTCAGTCCCCGACCCATTAAGAATGATGGGGAAGGTGGGTGGGTGAGAACAGATGCCTGTGTTCCTCCCCCCGGCCTTGGGCCGGGTCCTGTGCCATTACCCCCCTGCCCCGCCGTTTGGGGCCGGGGCCATTCCCCACCACCCTTCGCTGCTTTGGGCTGGGGCCAAACCGATTTCCCACCTCTACCCCACTACTTTGGGCTGGGGCTGGGGCTGTTTCCCAATTCCCCCTCCCCTCCCCCTCCCCGCTGCTTTGGGTCAGGGCCAGGACTGGGGCTGGGGAGTTCTCCCCCTCCCGCCCTGCCGCCTCAGGCTGGGGCTAGGGCTGCTCCCTGACTCCCCCTGCTACTTCCCCTCCAGTCCCTCAGTTTCCATTGTCGTGGCGGTGCTCCACTGTCTGTCCCTGTCTGTGTAGGGCACTCTGATTGGCCCCCTGCATCACCTTGCATCACCAGTGCCACATCACCTTGCACTTGTCAGTGTTGAATCCCATCCTATTCTCGTCTGCCCACCCCTGTAACCTGTCTAGGTCCAACTGCAGCCTATTCCTCCCTTCTAGCGTGCCCACTTCTCCCCACATATTACGACACTATTTCTTATGGCAGCATAGTACAAAAAATTTTGGGAGTATTGTATTCTGCTCATTTGCATTTCAATGCACTTTAAAGTTGCCTAGGTGATAAACTCCACAAACAAACTGATAAGAACATAAAAAGGATAAATAACCATATTTAAAAATTGTGCTTTGTTACATAATTGTAAAACAACAAATTGCGTATTTTCTGAAACTGCTATAACTATGTTTTATTTATATTATATAGGGCCCCCTTCAAATGTTACATTTATATCACATTTAAGATGTTAATAAGCAGCATAAACAGCAGGGACATCTATATACGTGCTCCAGGATGGGGGTGGGGGATGCTTTAAGTAGAGTGGGTCTGAAAGCTGCTCCAATTAAAGCAGCCACAGTATCACATGCATTCAGGGTACCACGCTTCAAAACAGCAGCAGGGGCACTTTAACTAAAGCTTGTTCAACGGGCTTTAGTTAAAGCACCTCTGCCACCATTCAGAAATGAGGGGACAGTGAATACACGTAATGCGGAGGATACTGGAACATGCTAATTAGCACACTCCAGGAGACAAGTACTAATTAGCATGCTTCGGAACAGAGGTCAGTCACGTGTACAGGTGCCCCAAGGGTGCTATGTATGCACCCAATTTAAAGCACCTTAAATGGCAAACCATCCATAAAAGTGTTCCATATACAATGTAGATAATTTTTATGACTGGTTTGCATGGCACCTTAAATTAACCACATGACGTGTCCAGGGCCACCCTAAGACTGTTATGCTCACAATCATCTGATAGTCAGATTACCATACATACCCTGAGTCATCTGATCTCTGTCCAGGCGTTTTTTTGAAATCTGAACAGTGTCTGGGATTTTACTTTGTCCCACTGGTGGAAGCTGGCAAAGGGCAACTAGAAGCATGAAGCATCACATGCGTCCACACATGCCTAAGCAGCTGAATGCACGTAGGTCTGTGGGAGACAGAGGTTGAAGGGCTGGGGTTGGGGCCAAGTGCCAGCCCCTCCAGTGAAGAAAGGGGCAGGGAAGGAGGGCCCTTTGAACTCCATGCCCAGGCCGACAGCACAGGGCTAGTGCCTGTGCTCGTGGGGGTGGGGTGGCCAGGAGACACTGCCTGGGGAAGAGGGGTCAGGGGGCTGTGGCCAGGCTGCCTGGCACAGTGCAAGAGCCCCTGCTCGGGGTGAGGGTGCCACAGGCCTCCCCTCCTCTTCCCTCCATCCCACACTGGGACCAGGTATGTTCTGCTGCTGCCCACATGAATCACAGTCACTGCACTCCGGCCTGGTCAGAACAGGGGCAGGTGGGGCCCCCTCTGGCAGGGCTCAGGAGAGCAGGGGGCTGTGAGTGCGGGGCAGATTGGGACTGAGGATCAACAGCACAGCCTGGGGGAACAAGGAACTGTGGGTTGGGAGTGAGGGAAAGCAGCAGGAATGGGGGGCTGTGGGTTGGAATGAGGTGTCCCCCAACAGGTGTCTTCTTTTTTGGAACTGGAAATATGGTAACTGTAGTCTGGATGCCCTCCCATGCGCTGGCAATTAGTAAGAGTGATACTGGGAACTGATCCTGATCCCAAAGTCATGCTGCCTGCTATGAATGTGTGATATAGCAGGAGGTGTGACTGTTGAGATCAGGAATCCAGATTCCATGGTGCCTTTAAATGAATGCATGCTAGGGACAACAGTGAAATCACTTTTAGTTAGGAAAAATGTCATACCTCATTTTAACCTAAACCAAAGGTTTATTTTGCCCATTAAACCTCTAAACTTAGACACTTTCAAATTTCCAGGGCCCATGTGTAGGACACTTCACACGTATATGCTCATCAATTGCTGCTAAAAAACTTCTGGTGCTTAAAGAAAAAGCAGAAGGCCTTTCATTTTGTAGGCTATCAACACATCTCCTTAACATGTGAAAAAAAAAAACAGTCCAGTGATTACAGCACCAGTTTGGCACTATCCTTGTCATTGACCTTTCCCCTTCCTCCCCCTTCCCCTCCCCCCCCACTGCCCTCCCAAGTTCCCCATCTTCAAAATGGATTTAATCACATTTCTCTAACTTGCAAGAATGTTGTGAGAACAAATATTTTGAAAATCGAGGCCCTTCCACTCAGTAATAGACAAGCCATGTAGCATAATAGACACATAGATAAATAAGCCATTGCTGAGCCAAATTCCATCCTCTATGATGGGGAAGCTCTCAGTATTTCCAAGCTCCGATGATGTATGGAAACCAAGACCAAGAACCAGGAGTCAAACTTCATAAACAAATTTAAAAAAAAGAACACTATCTCCTGGAAGTTACGAGGTAAATCACAGATTATAATTACAAGCAACAACATCAACATTACACCGTTAAACTCCATATGAAGTTTCTGCAACAAGATGCAAACATATTCAAAAGAAAATATTAAAACTAACCTCATACACAAAATACACTTTGGCTTCTACATAGATTCCCATGCGCACTACTGCGCGTACTGCTGCATTCATACCTAGGAAGAAAAAGTAAATTCATGTTGTTACTAAATGTGGTAACTACCCAGGTTTTCTATTAACTTGAAATATCTTTGTCAATAAAAACAAACTAAAACAAGGATTAGGAAACTACAACCTGTTTCTAAATGGGGAAAAATACTGTTGAATATTTCAGAGAAACCTAAATACTGACAATGCAGTTAGCAGTTGAATGTGAAGAGGACAGAGTTGTTTACTCTGTTACCCTAAGTATATGGACACTAATTAGCCAATGAAATTGATATGATCAGAGCAGACAACTAAAAGCATATAAGGTAGGTGCAACCTCTTATAATTTGCAAGTGCATGGCATACCCTCCATTAAAATTCGGTCCCTGCTCCCCTTTGCTCAAAAGGAAATTAAAAAAACAACAACAGTGCCATATCTAAGTCATGTTACTTCAGCCTCCAAACAATTCAACAGCACAGACTGTGGTGGGGGGCAGCAGAGGAAAAGCCAACCCACCCGAGAAAGAAAGAGTAGGACATGAACAGCAGCTTCTCTGTGCCTGAACCCAGATCTGTGAGGGCCAGAAAAAGGAATCCATTATGACATTTTACTCCCCTGCATAGGCATGCCAAACAGCTCAACAGGGCTCCCTCCTAGATGCCTGGCAAATGGAGATAGTTGAATGAAAGAGGTTATACCAAATATACCTGCAACCAACTTGTAAGATACTGGTGTACCATGGGTGGATGGCTGGGGAGACAGAAGGAACCCAATCCTGGCAGCGCAGCCCCAGCCCCAGCCCCTTCCCTGCCATCTGCTTCAAAGCACGCATGTCAAGAAAAATGCCTCCATGTACTACGCCCTGGCACCCATGCCAGGGGTTGCCTACCCCTGGGTTATACTCATATAAAATAATATTAATATACTTTATCTGTTAAGTTATAAATGTCACACAGAATCATTTTGTAGAAAATTCTCAAAAAGCCAATCCAAGCATTAAAAAAGAAAAAAGAAAAAAAGGGAAGTCTCTTAAAATAGCTCTATCTACACTGGACAATCTTACTCATAACTGAACAAATCTCAACATAGTCTGCAACAACTATGGGTGCACCAATAAAGATTTTTTGGGCCGATACCAATGGCCAGTTATTAATGAGAAATATAAGCCAATTCTAATCCAATTGCCAATATGCAGCCCGGCAGCTTCCAGAGCAGCGTCCAGCTGGTAAGTCTGTTGGGGGAGAAGGAACAGATCAAGGCCCATGCTGTGAGGGAGCAAGTGGAGCTGGGGCTAAGGCTGAGGCAGGGGCTGCCCAGCCGGGGCAGGGAGCGGGATGAAGGCGCATAGCTTGTCTGGGGAGTGTGGAGAAAAGGGGGGCGAATCCTGCTACTACGCACAACCTCAAGGGAGCCATGGTGGGAGTGTGCCCCCTAGATCCGTGCATGGGAGCTGCCCCACCAAACGAGCTTGTCGTGGCTCTGTCCCACGCCCCATCCTAGCTGGGCAACACATGCCCAAACCCCTGCCCCAGCCCCACTCCCTCCCCTCACCACAGGGGCCTCGATCTGCCCCTTCACGCCCCTTCCCCCCACAGACTTACCAGCCAAACACTGCTTTGCAAATTGCCACACTGGCCTCGTGCATGCTGAGGCTGCACACATGTATGCAACATTTATTGGCAATATTATCGGCCACATCAGCCAAATAAAGCCAATTGCTCACTATGGCAATTTTTCTTTTATCAGTGTCAATATGACATGGACCGAAGTATTGATGCACCTCTAGTAACCACCAATTCTATGCAGCTAAAGTAGGTTCCATGCATGCAGACAATCACCAGCAACCTACAGGCATAAGAAACAACTATGATACAGCAAAGCATAAGGAAGATGACAGCCTTCTCAAATAAATGAAAATTGTTCTGGCTGGGTATAGCTATTAGATATCCTACAGCACGAAAATATAACTCAGCATTTTCAATTCCCCATATCAGTACATTTAATTAGTCATCAGGAGTAGTAAATTGTGTCTGTTGCTGATGTTGATTGTGTAAATTATGTCTGTTGCTGATGAAGCATCTGATGGGCATGAATCAATAATCAAATCACTCAGTGAAGGTACGCTAACTGTCCAAACTCACAAATACAGAAAAGATGTATTTTGTGGAAGGAGTCTACATAGTCTGACCCTGCCAGGAAAATACTTACCAACCTACCAAAGCCAACCTCCCCATCATCATTGAAACAATTAAAGTGAAAGTTTCAATGACTTTAAAGTTTCCTCAAGTGTTTTTTATTTGGGAATACAACAAAAGATCTTTGTTATTAAATAGAACACACTCATTGTGCATACACTTAAAATCAGAGCTCTCCACTGAATAGACTACAATGATTGATTTGTTGTTCAGTTATACTGTGGGAACGTCACCTTAATCTTTTTCTTAACAACTACCTATCCTCTTTGTCAATCTTAAATAGTAAGTCTGTAGAAAGCTTTGGGTGGTGATTCGATTTGGAGGAGATTCAGCCCAAATCAGTGGCCAAATCTCTGAATCACCTCAGGAGACCAATTAAAAGGTCCAATGACGCACTGCAGGAGAAGAGTATTGGTGAGATGGAAGTCCAGGAAGGGTGGTCATTCCTAAAGGAAGCAATCCTTCAGGCACAGAGGGAGACTTATCCCAATACAAGGGAAAAGGGGAAAAGGAGCTAAAAAACTTCCTTGGCTAAACAGGGAAATCCAGGGAAACCTAAAGGCAAAAAAGAAGGCATATAGGTGGTGGAAGCAGGGGGGCACTACCAAGGAAGAGTGCACCTACTTGGCCTGCACTTGCAGGGAGGCAGTTAGAAAGGCCAAAGCAACTACAGAGCCGAGGTTGGCAACACAAATTAAGGACAAGAAAAAGGCTTCTTTTAGGTATGTAGGAACCAAAAGGAAGGTGCAGGGCAGCATAGAACCCCTACTGAACAAGGAGGAGCAATTAGTGACAGACAGAGGGCACAAGGCTGAGCTATTAAATGAGTTTTTTTGCCTCAGTGTTCCTGAATCACAGAATCATAGAAGTAAGGTTGGAAGGGACCTTGTAGATCTTCATCCGACCCCCTGCCTGGGCAGGAGAAAAAACTGGGCTCAAATGATTCCAGCCAGGTAGGCATCAAGCCTCCTCTTAAAGACCCCCAGGGTAG